ATCAGGGACTGAAGAATAAGAAAAGTCATAGTTTCTACAGAAATAGTGAGCAACACCTGCCACTTCTGCCACAGTCAATATACACATACTTACTAACAAAGCCAAAGGCAAATTTTTAATTTAGGGGCTATTTTCTGTGTTAGATGAGGTAAGATGACTGTTCTCAATTAACACACCATTGTTTGGCTCCAGAATAAGGCAAATCCCACTATATGTGATATTTTCAGTTGTGCCAATTTTATATTCTGGGGACATAGCAGATGGAAAGTTTGGGTGGACATTTCCATCAGATCTCCTTAGTTTAAACATCATTTCCTGAATTTTTCTGTTATGATACCTTTTCAGAGAACTGCCGTTGACTACACATAAGGTTCTGTTATACCAGCGTATAATGGTAGATCCTGGTCTCAGGGTGGTTGATACAATTTGTTCAGTGCTGCTGGAGTTTAGGCAGTCAGTGAGTTTAGCAAAAACCAAACCAATTAAATTGCAGCCAGCTTTCGGGACCCAAAGGATAATCATTTACTGATCTCATTGCAAGTGCCAATGAGTTGAGCTCTCGTCTTCCTGATCATAAAAAGTGTAAGGGAGAATTGGGAAATAGGGTCTGTGCCTGACAGTTGCTGTTATCAACTGAACTGGATTAACAACTGTTGGAAACATGTTGGGTTGACCCAGAAGGAACAAACAAACCGGGATGGGGAATACATGTAAAAAAAAAAAGATACACTATGGTTGTGATAAAAATAAATTAAAAAAAAAAAAAAGAAACAAATGTCAACAAATACCATTTTTATTTAAATATTTAACATTGTCTTGATGGTTGACTTATTTCTCTCTATATTCCCTTTTGGAGTTGATGCATGTGTGTGTGCGTGTGTGTGTGTGTGTGTGTGTGTGTGTGTACACGCATGCTCACTTGTGTTCTACTCTCTTTGACTCCATGGACTGTAGCCTTCCAGGCCCTCTCTCTATGGAATTTTCCAGGTAAGAATACTGAAGTGGGTTACCATTTCTTCCTCCAGGGGATCTTCCCGACCCAGGGATTGAACCTGTATCTCTTGTGTCTCCTGCATTGGCAGGTGGATTCTTTACCACTAGCGCTACCTGGTGGGAAAGCGCATGTATCCTGTATTTGGGTACCACTTAACAGCTCCAGGAAGGAGTGAAAGGGTCTGACTTCTTCCATCATCTGTTTTCAGCCTTCTTCCTTCATTCATCCATCAAATAAAGCTGTATACTCTTTCTCTTCTGTTTTCTTTCTCCCACTTCTGTCTCCCTCTCCTCTGTTTTCTTCATTTTCTCCCTTATAAACAATTGGTAAATTTCACCTTACAGTCTTGATGCTGCTTATTGTATTTATGGAGTTTGTTAGTTTCTAAATTTCCTAATCTTCTCAGTCTTTTTACAGTATGGAAGAACATCTTGAGATTAGCTCATTAATAGTATCGAATAACTAAGTCTGGGTTGGAGGGCTTCAGAAACACAGTAATTTGGCAGTCAGTTCAAATTTCTAAACTGATTGTGTGTGTGTGTGTGTGTGTGTGTGTGTGTGTGTGTGATTTAAAAGCTCGACTGGGACATTTTTTTAAGTTAAGGGTATAAGGGACTTCCCTGGTGGTTCAGTGGCTAAGACTCCACATTCCCAATGCAGGGGGCCAGGGTTTGACCCCTGGTTAGGGAACTAGATCCCACATGCTGCTAACCAAGAGCCCTCAGGCCCCAACTTGGAGAAGGCAATGGCAACCCACTCAGTACTCTTGCTTGGAGAATCCCAAGGACGGAGAAGCCTGGTAGGCTGCAGTCCATGGGTCATGAAGAGTTGGACATGACTGAGCAACTTCACTTTCACTTTTCACTTTCATGCATTGGAGAAGGAAACAGCAACCCACTCCAGTGTTCTTGCCTGGAGAATCCCAGGGATGGGGGAGCCTAGTGGGCTGCCATCTGTGGGGTCGCACAGAGTCAGACACTACTGAAGCGACTTAGCAGCAGCAGTAGCAGCAGGCCCCAACTAAAGATCTCACATGCCGCATTGAAGATCAAAGATGCTGTGTGCTACAGCTAAAACTGGTGCAGCCAAAAGAGAAAACATTAAAAAATAAAGTTCAGGATATGAAAGTTGTATAATTGAACAGAAACACAGTAATAACTAGTATTCTAATTTCAATGAATACATTTAAATCTCATAGAAACTAGAAAACGATTTAAGTTTTGCACAGCAAAGTTTTGATGTTGCTGGAGAACGATGAGGTGACTGATTATTGCAAAAATGGAAATATGCTGCAATATAACTAAGGCAGGTGGCTTTAAATATTGCAAGTTGCACTAAGCTGGAAAGAAGAGCATCATACTAGGGAAAAAACAATGAATCCAGAAGACAGAATGGGACAACTACTTGATGAAGAGAAACACTATGTTCAAGTGAGATCTGAGCACTGTTGCATATTTCATGGGACAGCCTGGCAGTATATGTTCTAACTACCAGGAAGATAAGTTCCAAACAGGCTCAAGTTCCATCAGCTTTGCCTCCTTGGTGATAGAATTGCTTACTTTAGGGTGACACGTCCTCAGGTTTCTGAGTTTCAGAATGGAGAGCACGTATTTTCAGCATCTTTGTTGCAAGAAGCAATTCATATTGAGTGACAGACAAACTGGTTATATTTTGTCTAAATGATGTCTCTGAAAACTTTGGAGTGAATCCAAATAAAGTGGTCAGCATCAATTTAAATTAAATGTTTAATTCAAACATAGGAATTCTCCCATAATTCAAAATCATACATGAAATTTTCCATGAAGTTATCATACAAATATGCTTCAATATGAAACAAGTTCTAAGAAAATCACTCTGATAGAGTTACCTAGTTCAGAAAAGAGAAGATGGGCAGAGATGATAACAGGTTACATTTAAAGAACATTCATCCAATGCCAGGCACTGTGCTAAGTGTATATTTCATTTTATCTTCACAACAAATATGTGGGGATAATATATTATCCCCAATTATTGAGGATAATAATTATCCTCAATTTATAAATGATGAAAATGAAATAATAAAATTAAGTAGCTCCTCAAGGTCACACAAATGTTATATTATAGAACTAGATTTCAAACCCTTGTCTGACTGTAGATACTGGATTTTTAATCAATCTTGCCTGTGTTTAGAGAATATGATGAGAGAGAAGATTGTCTTAACTTTACCAGTAGGGATTAAATTTGTTAGCAAGCCTTTTTCTAATTATGAGGAGCCCAAAGGTTGCAACAGATGATTAGTGTCTTTCTGAGATAATTTAAGAATAATAATAACTAGACGGCATGGTCTAAGTGATGGCTTAAAGTTCCCTCCAGTTTTGTGAATCTTTGGTAAATCTGAATTGTATTTAATGTGTAGAGGGGAGATAATGGATGCCATATCTTTTTTTATTTTTTAAAACTTTATTTATTTTTTAATTGAAGGATAATTACTTTACAGAATTTTGTTGGTTTCTGTCAAATCTAAACATGAATCAGCCATAGTGGATACTGTGTTTTGTTGAATTTTCTTACATAAAATTTTATTACAAGTTTTTCCTCCTCAAAATCACTATGCTCCATGTAGAAATATTGGAAAATACAGAAACTATAAAGAGAAGAAAATAAAAAACTTATAATGACACCACAGTAGACCTCAGGCACTATATTTGAATCTTAACACTCTATTTTAATCTGAATATTTTAACCAACGTTAGTTGGTTACTACCTGTTAGTATAAAGATTCACTGAAAAATATAGCAAATAGAAAACTAAGCAACTACCACAATCTTACCTTGCACGCTGTTAACATCAGAAACTGTCCCACAACTTGTCAATAAGTTTTGGGAAGTATGTGAGTGACTTATCACCATTTCAGTAGAATCCAGGTTAAACATTATGTTGCCTTCTGAAGTCTGGCTAGTTCTGGAGAATCTGCCAAAAACTAAATGTTCTATGCCTGAATACCAGTTGCTAGCAAAATGCAGTACAGTCTTTGAGTCCATACTTTCGTGGTAACAAATGCATTTGCAATTTGGGCAGCTCAGAAAGGGATTAAGCTGATAAATGCATCAATGATGAGATCTCCTTAGAAGAAAATGAGTTCTCATAATCACATCAGATGATGAGTCTTCTTCTAATTGGTTGTTGGTGAAACAAGCAGTTTGCCACAGCTATAGAGTTGAGTCAAATGTACTATTATATACAAATTTTGTATTTACATTCATGCTAAGAGGTGAAAGTGTCTCTGCAGGAGTGGAGAATAAATGGTTCTTCTGAAAAACTTCAGGGGTCTCAGAGACATGACTATGGTCATGAGGATGCTTCTGTCCCAGCTGGCTTGACCAGAGCAACTACCTAAACTCAAGGGGAAGATGGGAGGCTGCCAACGTCATCCTTGCTGACGCTGAAGGTATCAGGAGGCTGTTAGGTGATTGTACAAAGCTTTCCAGGTAGACTGGGTCAAAGCCACCCCATCTGCAGAACAATGTTGTCATTGAAGATAGTCCCTCGGAAGGTGTGGCTGTATCTGACATTACTTCTTCTGAGATGGAGGACCCAGGAGAATGAGAGTACTGGGATGAGGCAAGCAGGGCTCTTGAATACCAAGCTTGACTGACTCTGAGACAATGTCAGATAACACAGGATGCCTTTGTAGTTTTGTCCTGTGGATCAAGCTGTGCCCCTTTATTCCCTATTCTGTTGAGTCTAGTTTTCCTAATAACATTGATATGGTAGTTCTACTCTCAAGGAAGTCGAAATCTGAATGAAGTAGCTGTTGATACCATAGAAGGAATGACCTCAGGCAAAGCAAAACAATATTCAAGGTTTGTTGTCAAGGAGAATTCTCTTTAATGAATTCTGTGTTGCTACTATATGCAGCAGCCTGTTGTCTTTGCATACCTTGGAGAACCTGGAATAAAGTCAGGGTTGAGGATAGGAGTGATCTGTCTTAAGTGATCAAATAAGCCAGAAATTGATGGCTTATTCATCAATGGCTCATCTTTAGGGGGCTTCCCCGGTGGCGAAGTGGTAAAGAATCCGCCTGCCAATGCAGGAGATGCAAGAGACGCAGTTGGATCCCTGGGTCATGAAGATCCCCTGGAAGAGGAAATAGCAACCTGATCCAGTAGTCTTGCCTGGAAAATTCCATGAAGAGGGGAGACTGGAGGACTAGAGTCCACAGGGTCACAAAGAGTCGGGCACGAATATGCGACTGAGCAGGCACAGACACAACTTCAGGGATCCAAGGTGTCACTAAGGTAGACAATGAAACAGAGAAGGGTTTGTTTGGTTTTCTTCTTATTTCATTTGGCCCCACTGTTGTCACTGGGACAGCCTTTAACTGTCTGGGTCGTCTTCTCTGAGGTTTTTGAGGTAATCTCCAACCTGTAATCTTATATCCTGAAATCTGGGCAGGACACTTAGAGGAAGCATGCTGTTGAAAAACTTGCATTAGTTCTGGCAGTGTTGTAGAAACCTCATGGTGCATAGGCCAGAGGAATTGTACAGAGGGGCCTTGTAAAGGAATGACGTACCTGGGGTCTGCAGCCAACACTGGAAGGTTCCAGAGGTGCTTGTTTATCTTGCTTCTGAAGGAGTTCACAGTCACTCAAGATAGATCCAAGTGGAAATAGTCTGCCAGTGTGTGTACCAAAAAGAGACGGTTTCCAACACCAAGAGTTTCGGCAGCTGCTTTAACAGTGATTTCAGCTACGTTGGTAGAAAATTCTGAGCCTCCTTGGACCCTAACAATGAAAATTTAAAAGAACAACACAGAGTGGATTATTGCCTTATTAACAGCCCCTTCGGAGTGTATTTAGAGATATGGGCTTCCCAGGTGGCACTAGTGGTAAAGAACCCGACTGCCAAGGCAGGAGACCTGGGTTTGATCCCTGGGTCTGGAAGGTTCCCTGGAGGAGTGTATATAATATTCTCACATGGTTTATTGCTACGTCCAATAACTAGGAGAGGATGAAGGACAATTATTATAATCCCTAATATATAGTTGAGGCTTCTCTCATAGCTCGGTCGGTAAAGAATCTGCCTACAGTGCAGAAGACCTGGGTTTGAGTCCTGGGTTGGGAAGATACCCTAGCGAAGGAAATGGCAACCCACTCCAGTATTCTTGTCTGGAAAATCCCATGGATAAAGGAGCCTGGCAGGCTACAGTCCATGGGGTCACAAGAGTTGGACATGACTTAGTGACTAAACCACCAATATATAGTTGAAGAAGCTGAGATTCAAAGAGCCAAGTAAAATGTCCAGAGGAACAGAGTGAGTACCTGATCCAAACCCAGGTATTTGATGACTTCAAGTCAGAAGATAAGAATTTCAGTGGGAAAGTCATTTTGGAGTTTGAAAGTTTTGAGTTATTTAACTGATCTGAGTTTTAGTTTCTTCAAATAGAAAATGGGTATAGTAATTTCTCTTTCAGAGATTTTTTTTTTTGAATGTGGACCATTTTTAAAGCCTTCACTGAATTTGTTACAATACTGTCTCTGTTTTATGTTTTGCTTTTTCAGCCTCAAGGCACGTGGGATCTTAGCTCCCTGACCAAGGATTGAACCCGTATCCCCTGCATTGGAAGGCAAAGTCTTTACCACTGACCACCAGGGAAGTCCTAGATATTTTGAATATGAACTGACATAGGACACTTGGCTTGACATAGGACAAAGGCACAAAAAAAGCCTTTCACTCCACTGCACCTGTCCTGTTCCTCTCTGTCCCTTCTCTTCTTTTCCTGTGACCTTTCCTATCCTTCCCATCCCTGTGTTCTGCCCTGGGTCCTTCCTTTCATCCTACCTCATGTCTTTTCCTTCCTTGCATCCTTCTTTTCCTTTCACCCTCCTGTATCCCTCTTTTCCTTGCACCTTCCTTTTACTTTGCTCTCTTATACTTCTTTATCTCACATCTTTTTCATCTAAATTAATGGTAGATCCCCTCTTAAATGGAAGTATTGACTCATAGTTCCTGCAATTACTAAATACACTCTTCTAAGTAATAGACCCTGATTTGACCTCAGTCCAGAGTTGGGGTCATGAGGCTAATGTCTCTAGGAGGTCCTGTTTTTACTGAAAGAAACGTCAAGTAATAATCCTCACAGATCCAGAGAGGATCTGAGCATCATACAGCCCTGGTTTATGGCTGAAATGAATAGGCATGCTAAACCCAAAATTATTTAAAAAAATTTTTTTAGGTCTTTTAAGACAAGGAAAATAGATTTTATTTCCAGGGTGAAGTGATTAGGTTCTGTTCTGAAGGCTTCTGTTTCTTCCCTTCATATCTAATACCTTCGAATATGCCATGGAACCCACAAGACTTTTCAAGATCCAGGGTTTGCTAACTTCTTCAGCCTCATTTCCCGCCAGTGGCCAACTCACCCTGTGTTCCAGCGATGCCAAATTTTGTGTGGTTTCCCGCACATATCGTTCTGCGTAATGCTTTTATAACCATCAAAGAGGTCCTTCTTTGAGACTATAGTGCCTCATTTTCTGACTAGCTAACTTCAACTTTAAAAATCCATCATAGACATGATCTCATCCAAAAAGTTTTGCCAACATCTTACCCTTAGCTGGGTTAAGCTACTAATTTAGCCTCTATAACTTTTTCTTTTTTACTGAAGCACAGTTGATTTACAATGTTGTGTTAGTTTCATATGTACAGTAATGTGAGTGTTTATATGTTATATATACAAATACATATATGTCCTTTTTCATATTCCTGTACATTATAGGTTATTGAAAGATATTGAATATAATTCCCTGTGCTCTACAGTGGAACCTTGTTTATTATCTATTTTATAAATATGGTGTGTATTTGCTAATCCCAAACTCTTAATTTATCCCTCCCTTTCCCCTTCATTAACTGTAACTTTTTCTTCTATGTTTTTGTTTTGTAAAGAAGTTCATTTGTATTATTTTTTTGATTCCACGTACAAATGATATCATATGATATTTGTCTTTCTCTATATGACATTTCACTTAGTATGATATTCTCTAGGTCCATCAGTGTTGCTGCAAACTAGCCTCTACATATTTCATATGGTTCTGTTATTGCATTCGTTACACTATATTACAGTTTCTTTATTAAATCCCTACATACCCTACTGCACTATCAGACTGAGTTCTTTGGCAACAATTTATTCCTGTTATCTCCTGCTCCTGGGTTTGGGATGTGGCAAATAGTAAGCACTCACTAAATTCTCAATGAATGAATGAGTAGATAAATGAACAAAAAAATATGCCATGGTACATGCAAAGACACCTTATAAACTGTGAGTAATACACGAACACAATAAAAGAGTCACAAGGCACAAAAATGAAAATCATATAAAATATACAATGTTCGTTTTTACCCCTTCATTCTTGTTGCCCAGTCTCTCAGTTTTCCTCCCTTACTGTTGCTATAAAAGTCTGACATATTCTACGCTTACAAGGGTCACGTGTATTCAGGTTCCTGCCTTTTGAGAGAGAAAAGGAGGACTGTTCTCAGTGTGTGGTCCACGAGTGTAAAATAAAATGGTGTGAGAAATAAAACCTTACTTCCCAAGAGTTCATTTATTTGGAGAGTTTGTCTTCCAATTCAAGGAATTATCATAAGAAGCTTTGCTCTAAGAGCCTGTTAATTAGCAACATTGTGAAATGTGTCTACTTCCTTTTGTGGTGGTCTTCTGTTCCTTACTCTTTCTCTCTCTAGGGCAAGGTTTTACTTCTTCATATCCTGTCCTTGCTCTTGGGCTGAGCACCTCACACAGCTGTCCTGGTACTTTTTCAAATGAGGACACTCACCCACTTGGAGAAGGAATCAAACTTGTTTCCTTTACGTCATCCCTGTCCAGCACATGAAGGGTAGAGGTGATGGAGGCTGCGTTTGCTGGAGACAGAAATCCCCAGGCACCGAGGCCATGATTTGGAAATCTCTTCCTTCATCTTCTAAAGGCAGTCCTTGCAAGGTCTTGATAGAAGCGTTATATTCTAGCCATCTTGGCAGTCTAACATTATGAACCAGTGTAACCTGTTAAGTTACATGTGAAATAAAGAACTTGCCTTTAGGAAGACGTTTTAATGTTTGTTTGCTTGCTCTGTTCCTGTGACAGAGGACTGGTAACAAGAGTTAAAGATCTCTGTTGAGATAGAAACATCAAGTTTAATCATAAACCAGTATTTTTAAACCCTGCAAATAGACATTCTTTCATCTCAGGCTCGTAAAGTCCTTATGAAAAACAAACTTTGAGTAGAAATCATAGAATAAACATTAAACTTGATTAAACTACTTGGACAAGTGTTGCACTAAAAAAAAGTTTACCAAAACCTAGCAGCTATTTAATGATTGACAATTAAGACTTGTGTCTAAAAATGTTATATTCTATTAAATTCAAATACTGAATTGTTTTTCTTCTTGAACTAAGTTCCTTATAGGAAAATTTATTTATGAGCCTTTTAAAATAACTTCATTTCTTGGTTAGTGCTCTGAGACACCTACATATAAATTATTACATGGACAACTTGGAAAGCTTGAACCATTTATTTTTTTAATTTTTAAAATTTTTGTTCCTTGTGCTGTACAGTAGGTCCTTGTTTGTTATCCATTTTAAATATAGCAGTGTGTACATCTATACATCCCAAACTCCCTAGCTTTCCCTTCCCCCCTATGTTCCCCCCTGGGAAGCATAAGTTCATTCTCTAAGTCTCTGAGTCTATTTCTGTTTACCATTTCTTTTTAGATTCTGCATATAAGGGATATTATACAATGTTTCTGCTTCTCTGTCAGACTTACTTCACTCAGTATGACAATCTCTAGGTCTATCCATGTTGCTGTAATGGCACGATTTCATTCTTTTTAATGACCCCTGTTTATTTTTAATAACTGCAAGAACACAGTGCTGAACAGATGGTTAAAGATACTTAAATGCTTACCTGAAACTGGTTTATTTTCCCTTGGAAAGCATATGGAGGAATTGGATAATAGAATAATTTTCTAATGATAGCACCTGTGTCTGGCTTGCCATGAAGAGTTTGGATCTCTTCGCACGAATAGTGAGTTGTCACAGCCAGCACATTCACAGAGACAGATGTCAGCATCAGCCCCAGACGTGGTATTATTGAAACTCTTCTGATCCAATTCAGGGACAAAGGGGTGTGGTGAGCTAGGCTCCCCTGTGTTTCTTACTGGTACCCATGGCTCACTTGGGTAACTGGATATCACATTACTGAACCTCAGACTGCCTAAAGATAAAAGCGACAACATTTAAGCTCAGCCCAGTAGCATTTCTAACTTATCTTCAGAGCAGCATTTAAGGGTTAGAAGCCTTTTCTTTCACATATCATTGGCATCAGCTAACATAGAATGGAAGATTCCCACTATTTCAAGACCTCACGGCTTTACGGTCACAGTACAGTGAGTGAGAGAGGGAGCCGACTGATGCATTTTGACAGAGTCAGGCTTGTGTGGCTTCCTTTAGTGATTCTCATCCAGCTCTACCTAGAGTTA